GTTCAGGCTTCTTGGAAGGAAAGAATGGGTACATTGTGCTCCTTCTGGAGAAATTCCTTAAGTCCCATTTACAAGACTCAGTGTCTTCTGCCAATGGCCTCCTCGCTGCCCCTTCCTAGGACTTTCAGGGCAGTGTGCTCAGATCCACAACAAGATGCGGAGGCAGGGCATGCCACTGGAGAAGTCTCTGTGTTCAGCCAGGAGGCCAGAGGCCACAGTGGGTCTGAGCAGGGGAAGGAGGGAAGGAGAGAAGGAGGGAAGAGCAGGGCTTGCTGCCTCCCACCGCCCTCTCATGGCCTCGCCTGAGGTGCTGCAGGAAACTACAGGCAGGGCGGGAGTGAGTGCAGAAAGAGGACCTCCATCTCCTTGGAGGTCTAGGCCTCACTCAGCATTAAGCTAGTCCTCAAATCAGGCTTCACCCACCCTCAGGCTGTAGGTGGGGAGTCTCTTAGGAACCAGCGGGCACCACCTTCTTTCCCAGGCTCAGCATTGCAACCCCACCAGGATTTGTGTCCCTCCAAGCTTTGCAGACTTTGTATCTGGCAGGGATGTGGGACTCCAGCTCATCAGCACTGCCACTTGCCCACTTTCCACTGTTTAGCAGTGGCTAAGACCCAGGGAAGGGCCGTGGGTACTCCCGTTGCCAGAGCACATCCACAGCCAATGAAGGATATGGAAGTTCCCAGTTACAAGTAGCGGAGAAAGTATCTGTTGGAACCCTCTCATTTTAGAGGTGAGAATATTGATGCCCACAGAGGTAAACTGACTCTCTAAGGACACACAGCAATTATCCTGTGGAAGTGGGGAGGATGTCTTCGAGTGTGGGAGGAAAAGGGTGAGGCCAGCCTGATGGGTCCTTCCACAGGAAAGTCCACTGTCTTCCACCCCCAGGAAGCTGCCTCTACCAGGCCTCACTGGGCCTACCAGGCCTCACTGGGCTTGCCAGGCCTGCAGCAGAGCCTCCAACTGGATCGAAGCTCCTCCCCTCCATAATTCTTCCCCCTGCCTGCAGAATTGCTGCTCTGGATGTTCCCAGAAGGCTTCAGAACAAACCTCACCCTGGCACGACTGACCTACTTTCCCAGCCTCACCTCACACCACTCTCTGTCACACATCCACACTCCACCCACAGCAAACTCCTTTACCTCTCCATGCCTTGCAAATACTATTTCCTGGTTGGAAGGCCCTTTCCTTTCCTCCTGACCTGCAAACTGCAGCTCATCCTTCAAGGCTCTTCTCAAATCCTTCTCCCCGAGGCCTTTTCCCTCCTCTGTGTTTCCTGCACATCTCAATTATTTTGGAGAAGTTAAGCCCAGAACCACATGTTCCCTCATTTATTCTATAAGCACTGAGTGACTGCTTTGTGCCAGTTAAAGATAAAAAGAGATGTGGTCCTCAAAAAAGGTGTGGTATGCAGAGGTGTGGGGTGCAGAGGGCAGGAAGGCAGGAGCGTCAGCTCTACCTCCAGGAGAGGTCAGAAGCCCATCACAGGATGTGAGCCTCACTCACTGGCCCTCCACTGGCCGCATTGCTGCTCAGTCAGATTCACACTCACACAACCAGCACAGCTGGCTGCTGGCTCACCTCATGGGGCAATGAGGCCTCGCCCAGGAGAAGCACAGAGGCTGGACCACATGACCCCAACACAACAGGACAACGAGGTCACTGGTTCCTATATACCAGACTCCTGTTCCGAGTTTCTACTCTTGATTCCCTGTTTACACCTGTCCTTTGAGGGAACTCTGCCTTGAAATTAAGAGCTCCATACTCCATGAAGGTAAGAGGTAGCTCTGGATTTTGAGGAAAGGACCAAAGGCCCATTTGGTGAAATCCTAATAGGTAAGATTCTCCATCTGAAGAGATGATTTGTAAACAAACGGAGATGCCACTTGTATCACTTGGTACGATGATGGTGTTTCTGGGCTCTGAAAACAGGAAAGGTTGATCCACACAAAAACTTGTACACAAACATTCACAGCAGCATTAGTCATGATAACCAAAAAGCAGAAACAACCCAAATATCCATGTATCAAGGAATGGATTCAAAAAATGTGGTACATAGAATATTATTCAGCAATAAGAAGAAATGGCCCTATAACTGGTTTGGCTCAGTGGATAGAGCATCGGCCTGCGGACTCAAGGGTCCCAGGTTCGATTCCGGTCAGGGGCATGTACCTTGGTTGCGGGCACGTCCCCAGTGGGGAGTGTGCAGGAGGCAGCTGATCAATGTTTCTCTCTCATCGATGTTTCTGACTCTCTATCCCTCTCCCTTCCTCTCTGTAAAAAATCAATAAAATATATTTTAAAAAAAAAAAGAAGAAATGGAAGTACTGATACATGCTACACCATGATGAGCCTTGAAAACGTGATGCTCAGTGAAAGAAGTCAGATACAAATAGCCACATGTTAAATGACTGCATTTACATGAAATGTCCAGAACAGGCAACTCTAGAGAGACAGAAAGTAGATTAGTGTTTTTAAATGGGTGAATTATCCTATATAATAAAAGGCTAATATGCAAATTGTCCCCTCGACCAGGAGTTCAACTGGGAGTTCAACCAGGAATTTGACCAGGGGGCGGGGCTGGCCCACCAACCACCCACGGCCCCTCCCCCTAGCCGCTTGGCTGGATCGCCCGATCAGGGCAGGCCGGCCCAACCCCACCCATGCACGAATTCGTGCACCAGGCCTCTAATATTGTATATAAATTATATCTCAATAAAACTATAAACCACCACCACCACACACCCCAAAAAAAGGAGAGCCTGAGAAGGAATCTACATCCCAACCCTCTCCTAAGGGATGCTGCCTCACCAAAGCCCACATGATATGGCCCACGAAAATTCTGACTTGCTTTGATCTGATTTTGTGTTCACCAAATTTCTTTCTTATAACTCTCTTAGTTTTCCAGAGGAAGTATCCTGAATAGCAGACAGTGTTTCGGTCAAAGGACCCATATATTGACTGGTAAATGAATAAACTGGCATTGAGGTTTAATTAGTGGGTTTACTAATTAGTATTTATGATTTGGGTTGACAGGAATAAATTTTTGAGGGCAGTTACCCCATGAAGGCCAGCCTCCCCGGCCATCCATTCTGATGGCGTCTCTCTGACACACCAAGTAGAATGTCCAAGACTATTCTGCTTTCGAGAGTGACTCTTGGCCTCAGAGACTGAGTGGCCAATGTCTGGGGCAGGGAGACAGTCAAAGAGACTGTCAGCCTTCTTATATTCTTCCTTGCTTCCACCAGAGCAGGGCTATGTACTAGCTATGCCACCTTGAGTGAGTAAGTGAGTTAACCCCTCTCATTACCTAACAGCTCCTGGCACCTAGTACTTGTTCAATAAATGACATATCATTAACCTGAGCACTCCTTGCTGAAACTATATGTCAAGACAAGAGACAGGTAAGGGGATGGGAAGAAAAGAAGAGGTCCCTTTGATGGGCTGGAAGAGAGTTGGAATATATGTGCCTTCATATGTTAGTTATTTAACCTTTCAGGCCCTTATTTTCCTTGTTAGTAAAATAAGAAGATTGGATCAGTGACTCCCCAAAGATCTCTGAAGACTGTAATGGGGATTTTGTAAGCTACTTTCCATATTATTAAAAAAAACAAAACACAAAGTCAGCCACAGCCAGGTGGCTCAGCTGATTGGAGCACTGTCCTGTACATCAAAAGGTTGTAGGTTTGATTCCTGGTCAGAGCACATACCTAGGTTGTGGATTCAATCCCCCGTTGAGGTGCATACAGGAGGCAATCAATCACTATTTCTCTCTCACTAACTTCTCTCTCTCTAAAGTCAGTAAAAACATACCCTTGGGTGAGTATTAAAAAAAAAAAAAAGGAAATCAGGTATTTACAATCAAAAGGCCATATATTCTTACTAAAAGATCAACTATTCTTTAAAAAGTTAATTTTATATTAATCACTATTTACTATTGTTCACTATTGCCATTTTATATGTAGGATGTCCCCAAAAAATGTATACACACTTTGAATAATTATAAAGGCAGTGTTTATTAAAATACATTTCATTTTCAAAATTAAGCTATCAGTTGTTTAAGCGTGTATACATTTTTGGGGGACACCCTGTATATCTCTATTCTTGATGGGCAAAAAAAAGTGGAAACGTTAATGATTAATAAATGCAGAATGTTATGTGGTTATAATCTTTCTTTTTTAAAAAATATATTTGTATTAATTTCAGAGAGGAAGGGAGAGGGAGAGAAAGATAGAAACATCAATAAGAGAATCACTGATTGGCTGACTCTTGTACACCCGCCCTGGGGATCTGAGCCCAAAACTCTGGTATGTCCCCTGACCGAGAATTAGACCAGCAACCTCCTGGTTCACAGGTCAACCCTCAACCACTGAGCCACACCAGCTGGTGAGTAATTATAATTTTTCAAAATAGTTCATCAAGAAAAATTATCCAGCCTGGCCCATGTGGCTCAATGGTTGATCATCAACCCATGAACCAAGAAGTCACGGGTTCGATCATGCCTGGGTTGTGGTTCAATCCCCAGTAGGGGGTGTGCAGAAGATAACTGATCGATGTTTCTCGCTCATTGATGTGTCTATCTCTCTATCCCTCTCCCTTCCTCTCTAAAATAAAGAAAAAGAATAGATTACAAACAAAATATCTGACATTATAAATAAAATTGTTTTTAAGAAAAGAAGAATAATGATCCAAAAAGAAAAGAAAAATATTCTGGTCACAATAAATAAACTGCCAAAACATTTATAGCATGTGACAAATAGTTTATATCACTAATTGGTAAACTAATTTATAAATACTTTATGTAACTTATTATTTATATAGCTAATTTATGGACAGAAAATAACCCAATGAAAAATGGGCAAGAGATACAAATATGCAATCCAAAGAGAAGAAATACAGTAGTCAATAAACATCTGAAAAAAGAATAAAATATCTTTAAAAATCCAGCCTGGCCACAGTGGCTCAGTGGTTGAGCATTGACCTATGAACCAGGAGGTCATGGTTTGATTCCCAGTCAGGGCACATGCCTGGGTTTCGGCCTCAATGATTCTCTCTCACCATTTATGTTTCTATCTCTCTCTCCCTCTTCCTGCCTCTCTGAAATAAAAAAATATATATATTAAAAAAAAAAAGATCCAAACTGTGTTCAAAGGAGACAAGGCTGGATCACTGGACCAATAGTCTCTAAGGCACCTTCTTTTCAAAATACTATCTCTAGTTGGGGTGGGGCATAATTACCTGATGATGTCACCTAGTGTAAGTGTACCAGTGTTGTAATCCATCCTCTCTCGGGGCTTTAAACAGGCAGTTTCTCGGGATGAATAACCTACTCCTAATGTCACATTTAGCATGATACTGCCTCCTTCACTCCTGCCCCACAGCAAATGGGTAGATTGGAAATAAAATCACCAGGCTGAAGAGATCAATTTGTGATGAGTACGGATAAAAACAATGGGCTAGCCAGTACCACCCAGCCCAGAAAAGTAATCTATGTGGACAAGTTGTAAAATATGAAACCCAAATTTACAATATTCACCCCAAAGCACCATGGTACTATAGAGCCTTGGCATAAGTGTTTACTCAAGGTAATCTTAAGCATGTTAATTAACCTCTCTGAGCTCCAGTTTCTTGACCAAAGAAAAAAATCTCAAATCCTATGTAAATAAAAGGTATCATGATGGTTATAACAACTTTTTTTATTCACACGCTTAACTGCTTCCTGTAAAAATTTTCTGAAACAACATATATTCCTTAAAACACTGTTTTCATAGTGTATGTTCCTTAAAAAACTGGCTTCATAGATTATTAATAGCTGTTCCGTGGGAAAAAGCAATTCAGGAGGCAAATGAGTTTGGTACATGCTGAGCTAAACCAAGTTAAACAGATTATTACAGAACTTCTCAGAAACTTTCATGTGCTAATGTGTATTTCCAAGAAGTGGATGCAATATATAGCTTTTAAACCTTATTTAACAATGAACTCCTTTCTTCCTGGAATATCTTATGGGGCTTAATGGTTCAAGAAAGACAGTTTGGAAAGCCTATCTTTAATATGGGGAATTGGCGGGGACATGGAAATCGTGGCTTCCCTGAGCCTTGTTTTTCTTGCCTATAAAATGAGGATAGAGATACTATTTTACAGGGTATTAAAGCTGAAATGAAATGATACACAAAGCCTGGCACATAGTAGGCTCATAGCAAATGTTAGTTCTCCTCTAAATCAAGAAAATCGAATAAGCCTGGAATCTTTTTTTCCCCAAAATTAGGTAAAAAAACTTTTTTTTCCTCAGGTGTGGGTGTGGGTGCAGGTGCGGGTGCGGGTGCGGGTGTGCGTGTGGGTGTGGGTGTGGGTGTGCGTGCGGGTGTAGGTGTGGGTGTAGGTGTGGGTGTAGGTGTGGGTGTGGGTGCGGGTGCGGGTGTGCGTGTGGGTGTGGGTGCGGGTGCGGGTGCGGGTGCGGGTGTGCGTGTGGGTGTGGGTGTGGGTGTGGGTGTGGGTGTGCGTGTGGGTGTAGGTGTGGGTGTGGGTGTCAGGTAAAAATTTTTAACAATAACCACTGGAAAAAAAATGTTTCTGTGGTCTCCAGAATTATCTGTAAAAGCGATAACCCTCTCAAAGAACAGGGACAGCCCTTACCTCTGAGAGCCAGGGGACAGCTTTATTCCACTGCAGGTAGCTGCTGTTACTGCTCCCACCTCGCTCAAAGTCTTGGTCCTGGCAGAAGAGTGAAGAATGAACTTGGTGGGAATATTGGGGTGAGAACAGGATTTGGGGCCCCTTGAAAGTGCCCCTGGGGAAGTAGAGGTCAGGAGACACAGCCCTGGCCCCAGGAAGCTTATCCACTTAAGGGACACTCCATTTATCATTCACACTATATCCCTCAGGAATATACCTCCTCACAGTTTCATCAATGTATCTCCCGAGGTCCTTTTACTTTCCTGCATTTTTTCAGTCTTCCCATATGGAAAGAAACTTTTTCTAATTAGATCAGGCTCTCCAGAGGGCAAGACCTTGCCTCCCTTCCTGTGTATCCCCCAGGACTCTGTCCGGATTTCTCACTCATTTGTCCAAACAAGTGGGAGCCCCTTGGGGACATCCCAACTGTTCCCTACTGTGCAAGTCCACAGGTTCAGTTTGGTTCTGGCCCAGTCTTCAGGATCCATATCTGTTCTAGACTCAACCTCTGGGCTCTAGGCTAAATTGAATTGCAATTTCCCTAATCTCCCTCCCCTTCACCCCCAAACCTAATGCTGCTCTTTCCTCACTAGGAACTGTTGGTCCAAGAAACACTACAGGAAAAATGCTCCATTACAGATCTGTCCCCCAGCTATTTGCAGGGGAGGGGGTGTCTGTCTATCGCATCACCTCTGACTCTTAGAAGTAAAGATCTGGAATTGTAACTAAAGTACCAGCCCAGTCTTCAGGCTGGCAAAAGGCAGGACATGCTGGTCCCGCCTCAAGCCCTCGTTGCTGCTGGAGATGGCGGCCACATACCTGGAGGGTCAGACATGGGCACCTTGAACTATGTGATGAAGGCTTTGAGGGGGACAGGACGCACATCTCTACCCACCCAGCTAGGAAAAGGTTGCTCACACTGGTTAGAGGTGAGAATATTGATGCCCACAGAGGTAAACTGACTCTCTAAGGACACACAGCAATTATCCTGTGGAAGTGGGGAGGATGTCTTGGAGTGTGTGTTTTTTTCCTCAGGTGTGGGTGTGGGTGTGCGTGAATAGCAGTGTGACCACTGAATTCTGATTTCTCCCCACCCTCACCCTCAGTGCAGCTCCTTGCCTCATTGCTTGAGTGTTTTTTTTTTCCCTCAGGTGTGGGTGTGGGTGTGCGTGTGGGTGTGGGTGTGGGTGAGAGCCTGATCTAATTAGAAAAAGTTTCTTTCCATATGGGAAGACTGAAAAAATGCAGGAAAGTAAAAGAACCACGGGAGATACATTGATGAAACTGTAAGGAGGTATATTTCCCTGCCATACCCTGTGGAAGGGAAAGAAGAGAGGAACAAGGTCAACATCACTTGAAGACCTCAGCAGAACAAAGATGCTATGGCAAGAAAACACCAGGGCCTGGACCCCACCAGAAACCTGAGGTGGCACAGACAGCCAGGGAGGAAGCCAGGGACTGGGAGGGAGTCTCTAAGGCAAAACCAAAGCTCCTCCTCTGAGGTCAGGCTGCCATCCCCGGGACTCTTTCTCCTCTGCCTCTCTTACCACAGAAAAGCCGTTTCCCTTAAGGCTACAAGGGCAGGGGCAGCCAGGTCCCATGTTAATCCACTGGCAGGGAAAATGGGCTGGCCCTGCCACATACCTGGAGGCCTTGCCTCTGGGGATGGTAGAACTGAAGATTTGGATCCACAGCTGGAATGTTCCTGCTGGCTAGAGCCTTGGCCAGTTCTCTCCAGCTGCCATACCCTGTGGAAGGGAAAGAAGAGAGGAACAAGGTCAACATCACTTGAAGACCTCATAAATCTGCTGCTCCTCACCCCTCTTCATATGGTGGGTATGAAGTGTGAATGGTGGTGTTGGGAGAAAATTACAATGTTGGCCAAGGTCAGGTGGGCAGAGAGAGAGGAAATGAGCTGGTAGCCCATTAGGATTTGCTATCTTCCACAAATCAGGTGGAAATGGAGCATTGTCCTCCCACTGGTAACCCGGTACAGGCTGATTCTTCCCCAATTTCCACTGGAGGCAGATTTCTCCCAAGGCTGCCGTGGAGAAATGGTTGTGAAAGGCAGTGGAACTATGCTTTTCCCTACATGAGTTCCCTTTCCAGCTCAGTCTTTTTCCTTCAAGCCCAGGGAAACAGTATGGTATCTAGTTGGGGAGCCCCACCCCACAACTGCACAGCATTCCATCCAGATCTGGGGGAGGCAGGTAAGGGTGGGCCTGGGACTTGGTGTGTGTCAAACACATTTATAAGATTCGAGGCCTAGATATTCCTGGATTGATCTGGGGGCTGTGTGACTACTGATGCCTGCACCCTGACAGCTCTAGAACTGGCTGGCTTACACACATCTGGGAAGGCTAAAAGCCAAACTATGATGAAAGTGAGAGGGTACAGGAAACCGCTTGCATTCACAACCAAGCAAAGAGGCAAGGAGCTGCACTGAGGGTGAGGGTGGGGAGAAATCAGAATTCAGTGGTCACACTGCTATTCACAGGGGGTCAGAGCTTACTGCGTGTCAAGGAGATGGCTTGGGCATGGATGTTAGACTTTGAATATTTGGAACCAAGTCACTGTTAGCCATAATCAGAATCATAGACTATCAAGGGCTAGAGGGGCTTTCAGGATCATGTAGTCATCTCCAGGTAAGGAAAATGGGACCGTGGCTGGTCAAATGGCTTATCTGGGCTCACTTAATATATAGTGACAAGGCTAAGACTAGAACCCAAGTGTTCAGATGGATTTTCAATGAGCTTCTGCTTTCCTTCCAACAGCTCCATCAAGACACTACCATGATAGTACAGTGGATACAGCACACAGGAGTTAGACCGACATCTCTGATCCCTGGGAGCCAATAGCAGGCCGAAAGCAGAAGTGTCCCAGGAACCCCTTTGCGGCACCAGGAGAGAGACAGTCAACCAGACAGAGGAAAGAGCACAACCCACAAATATGGGCCCACAGAAGGTGGACATCAGTGTTTTGCATGAGTGTTTATGTAGCTGACTCTAGGAGGAGATAGATTATAAGGGTGTGTGGGTGCTTTTCTTACAGTTTTGCGTGCCCCTTTAGTGTTTACTAAGCACCTTATAGGCACTCGAGCCTTATGAGAATCTATGAAGTAGACCAGGTCTGATTACTCCCATTTTACAGATGGGGAAAGAAAAGCTCAGAGTTTAAAGTCACAGAGTTAGTTGTTTCAAAGCCAGAATCAGAACAGAGAGCCTCTCTGTCTCATAAGCCAGAGTTTTCTCATTCCGCCTACATTTGCTCCTGTGGGACTTTTTGGCACAGACTTTGAGGAGTTCTGGGGACAGAGGCCTCAGCTGAGGATCTGCGCCTTTGGGTTTCTACACAGACATCAAACCTCTGCGCATGTTATGTTTATAGGAACTCGTGCAGATTTATCCCTCTGCCTGTTATCAAGGTCTCTCCTGTTTCCATGGCTGGCCAGCTGGCAGTCAGAAATAGCAGGTCAGATTAGTTCATGTAGGGGATGTTCTGGGGAAGCAGGATTCTGGGGCCACTGAAGTGAGGTGAGGATATGGGAGTGAGGCAGAAAGATAACAAATGCGCCTAGATTTACACCCTGCATTTCTAGATGAGCTCAGGGGAAAGCTGTTTGTCCATCTGCTCATCCCAACTCAGCCACATCTCATGTAAAAGCCCATCCTTTCGCAAGCCCAGGGAGCTGCTGGCTAGTGGCTGGGGGCTCAGGTGGCTCGGTGAAAAATAAGTCACCCTGTGGGAGGGAGAGGGCAGGCCCTGCTTGCTTCTGTCTCTGAATGACTGGGTCATCTCTTCCTTGACTTTGCACTTATGACTAAAAACCATCTACTTCAGATAAAGTTGTGAGGAAATAAAAATAAAAATGCTTTTTGTCCTATCAGTGGGAGTTATAGGTCTCAGATGCATTCTTTCTCATAATTAGTTTTAAATTCCAATCAAATTCTTTTGACTCTCAAAAGTCACACCAAAAGTGAGACAACTTATCCTAAGGTCAATGAACTACCACTTGGTCTTCAGCATGTCTTCTGGCATTCACTGGGCATTGACAAAGACTCTCCTTGACCATATCTTAGGCTCTTCTGAGCCCTCTTGTAGACTAGGCCTCATCTTTGGGCCCTGTATTGGCCTGCCTAGCCGTTTTTAGGAAGAATCCTGTTAAATCTTTTTAGCAAGAATCCCCATACCCTTAATGTCTCTTTTTAGTAATTTTTCATGCACTGACCCACTCTGTTTCTTGACTATTAATCCCCAGTTGTCTTTGCCATATTCAGAATTGAGCTCAGTTCTACACCGAAGTCTCTCTCCCATATTGTGATAGTACTGAACAAAAATCTCTCTTTATCACCTTTAACTACTGTCCAGCTCTATTTCTCTTTAAAACAGTGGTTCTCAACCTTCCTAATGCCGCGACCCTTTAATACAGTTCCTCATGTTGTGGTGACCCCCAACCATAACATTATTTTTATTGCTACTTCATAACTGTAATTTTGCTACTGTTATGAATCGTAATGTAAATATCTGATATGCAGGATGTATTTTCATTGTTACAAATTGAACATAATTAAAGCATAGTGATTAATCACAAAAACAATATGTAATTATATATGTGTTTTCTGATGGTCTTAGGCGACCCCTGTGAAAGGGTCATTCGACCCCCAAAGGAGTCGCGACCCACAGATTGAGAACCGCTGCTTTAAAAGAAGGTACGCAGTGGCTCTCTCAGTGAACAAGGAAAACCCACTGTGGGGAGTGGAAGTGATCCTAACCATGCCCTGCCCCTGGGTCACAGGTGAGTCTGAATGGCTTTGAAATACGTGCTAAGTCCACAGGCCAGCCTTCAGTAATTGAAGGAGTAGGAAATTCCCTTTGCAAACGTCACAATATAGGAGAAAGACAAGCAAGGCTTTGGAGTCAGAAAGGTCAAATTGTACACCCACCACTTAGAAACAGTGACTACTTGAACAAGTAATTTAACCACTTTGACCTTAGTTTCTTCATCTGGATGGTGGGATAAAAACACCTGCCTCATAGCACCAGTGAGGACTAAATTATGCATGTCAGACCTAGTGTGCACTCAGTAAGTACGCAGTAAGCATTCCTTTCCCCTGACAATTTCTGACTTTGGGGTTTTGGACTTGGGAGTCAGGAGATGTGAGTTCTAGCCCATTTGAAATTCTATAAACTTCAGTTCTGGCCAGTGTGGCTCAGTTGTTTGGGCATCGTCCTGTACACCAAAAGGTTGCCGGTTTGATTCTGGTTAGGGCAGATACCTGGGTTGTGGGCTTGATCCCTGGTTGGATTGTGTACAGGAGGCAGCCGATTGATGTTTCACTCTCACATCAATTTTTCTCTCCCTCTCCCTTATTCTCCCTCTAAAAATCAGTAAAAAGATCTAAAAAAAAAAAAAAATTCTATAAACTGCAAATGGCCAGTAGCTCTCTCACTCTCTTTTCTCTGTGCTTATTGACCAGAGAAGTAAGTGGACTGTGGGCCAGCAGTGACTCAGTGGTAGAGCAAGATAACACTTCCTGTGTTTCATGGGTACTGCTTTCTGTTCTCCCATCCCACATCCCTCTGTCCCCCTAGCCATCCCCGCCCCCCCCCCACACACACACACTTAATATTCACCAAGTGCCTATTAAGTGTGAGGCCCTGGGCTGGGCATTTGGTAGGTCCTTTTCCCCTGCCTTTTCCTCTGTATTAACCCAGCTAGTGGATACCCAGGCATTGCTTAGTCCCCTTGGGGAACATGGAGCTAAAGAATGTGCTGATTTAACTATTGACGCTTGTCACTTGCCTTCTAGTAAGTGAACTCCTCCTGCTCCTGGCCAGACCTCTCCTCCCAGAGTGCCAGCTGCCAAGGCCTATTTCTCCTACAACAGGTGTCACATTTGTGCCAGAAGACAGACACCCCGAGCTCAGGTGACAGATAAAGCAGCACCATGGGCCTCACATTCTGCCTTCACAAAACTGGGCTATCAAATTCACCATCAGCCGGAACTTTGCCATCATTCCTCCTCTGTGTAATATGGACTCTTCAAAGGCCTGAAGATGATCGTTTTGGGTCTACATATATCTCTTGGTACTTTTTTTCAAACACTCTCACATACATTATTTCACTACAGCTTCACACTGTCATCTCCATGTTAGAGATAAAGAAACAGAGAGGTGAAGCCATCAGTCCAAGGTCACAGAGTAAGATAACCCATGTAAAGGACTTAGTGCCTGGAACAAAAAAAACACTTAACACACTGCAAGTTATCATTTTATTCTTAGTCCCAGTGTTGCAGATCTGAAACTTGCATTCATTTCTCTTGACTTCTGGTTTGATTCTCTGGTTGATATGTCATGTGGTCAAGCGGGACATTCGTACCAGGAAGAAAGGAAGCCCCTTGCTGCTCAGGCAGATTTTGGATTTTGAAAGTATAGCTGACGGACTTGCTGATGCATCGGATATGGGGAGAGGAACTGAGAATGATTCAAAGATTTCTGACCTTGGCAGTTGAAAGGCTGGAGTTGCCATTTACTAACACAGGAACCTAGGATGGGGTGTAAAGAGTAACGCCTGGAAGAGAAGTGGAAGCATTAGAGGCGGTGGTGGTAACATCCAGAAGGTGTGTGTGGGGAGGTAACATCCAGGAGGCAGAGGCCATGGAAATTATATTTCTGGAGCTCTATCTCCAGCCGTGGGGCAGGGCTCCTTCCCCTCTTGCAAAGAGGCCATGGGAACATGAGAACATGG